GCACTTGGCTCTTGCTAAGATCTTACTGAGCTCAACTGAAGCTTTCCTCAAAGAAATCTCACTGTGGTCCCCTTAGCAGAGCCCTCTGCCCCCAGCTATGCTGCCAGTAGGCCCTGCCCCACCCTGTATCACCATCTGCAACAGACTGAATGTTGGTATCCCCTCAAACTTCATATGTGGAAACCCTGATCCCAATGTGATGGTACTGCAGGGGTGAGGCCTTCGGGAGGTGATTAGGTCATGAAGGGAAAGCCTCCATGGATGGGATTAGTGCCTTTAGAAGAACAGTAAGAAATAAATGTTTAAATCCCCCAGCCTATGGTGTTCTGTTATAACAGACTGAACTAAGACACCCTCTGCCTATGGTCGTCTTGGCAAACCCAGGCAATGCAGGAGAAGGGTGGACTCGGGTCAGTGGCATTAGTGTCTCTTTTCCTAAAGGAGCCCTTGCCCACCATCTCAGCATCCCCTCTTCATTGCCACTTAGGCCCTGTGCCCAGTGACACTCCAGTGCTGTCCAGCTTCAGGGGCTGAGCCAAGGAGTTCCTGCCTGCCCTGTGACTCTCACCAGACCTGGCAGCTGCCTGACAGCTTGTCTGGCTCATGTGTTTTAATGAATTGAGTCCAGCTGCCTCTCTTTCTTGCTGGGTGACGATGACAAAGTCTTCCTCCTCCCTGGACCCTCATTTCCCTATCTCTCACATACACAGTGGGCTGGATGCTGGATGTAAAGCTGCATCGTTGCAGCCCCAAAGATAGGACTTGACTATCTCAGTACAATGACCCTGTGGTCCCTTCTCCCGAGGACTGAAGAGCCCCGTGAGTGCCTGCAAACCCTGCAAAGTGAACCCTAGCACCAGCTCCCTGCCTGCCTGTTCTGTGTAGGTAGCCTACAAAACTGGCAGCCCCTGCAGTTCTGAGCTGCAGAACGGATGAGCTGGGGCACCCTGAAACCTGACTCCAAAATAGCAGCAAACCCAAGGCCAAAAGGAAGTACAGGGTTCTTTGCCTGAGATTTCTCCTCTCACAGCCTTGGCCTGGAGCCCCTGCATTTAATCCCCACCCAGTCCCCCAAGGGCCACAGAACAAAGGGGATTCGTGCCTGGCTACCTATGTCTTCTGACACCCCTAAATCTTTATCCTTCTAGGACGACTGAGAATCCTCCAAAAGCCAAGGTCATCATCAAGCCAGGATGAGGAAGGGGGGAGGAGCTGACAGCTCTGCCTCAAATGGATTTGGGTGAGAGGGCTTTTTCCATTAGCTTTGGGGGGTAAGTAACAGGACTACCCCAAATGTGACTTAGTCTCAGGGTCCCCTTGCTTTTCACCAGCTGTCCCCTTTGCTAGGGGAAGCTTTCCAGCCCCAACAAAGGGCTTAAGAGGGGTCGGGCCATTCCTGGCATCCAGTGAGACTTGGAAGAGATGGACAGAGCAGAAGCCTGGGAGGGGGGGTGTGTATCCGGCCTGGGGATGCCTCCCTCTCCCTTGCCATTGCCCCAACCCGCCCTCATCCAGTTCAGAGAGGGCACTTACAGGTCTCGGAGGCAGGGGAGGGCCTCCTCCTGGGGTCCCATCCCCGTCCAGATGGTGCCCCCAACCAGCAGAGGCGGCATGATCTGGGCGGCTGGTCCAGGGAGTGGGTTGCGGATCGTGGAGGGAAGAGGGGAATGGCAGTCGAGACCCTACTCCAAGTACCCATCAAAGACGTCGAGCTCCGAGTCAGCATCGTAGAGGCCCGAGCCGGGGTCTGAAAGCACGCCGAGGTCCACGAGCGCCTGGTCCATGTCCTCGGGCAGGAAGACGAGGCCCACGTTGAGGACGATGTATTCCATGAGAAAGGCGTAGTACAGTATTAGCACATTGACGAAGAACAGGCCCACGTAGAACATAGAGGGCAGCAGCGGCGGCGGCACGTAGGGGACCAGGGGGCCCAGTGCGTCCAGGTGGGCCGCGACCCGGGCGCCGAGCATGCAGCGGGTGGCGAGGGCGGCGGCCAGGCGATCCCGGCGAGCTCAGCCGCTGCGGCGCCCGGGCGGCCGGCGAGGGCACAGCGCAGCCATCCAGGGGTGCCCGGGGGCTCGACAGAGGCGGCGTCGGGCTCCAGGTGCCCCCTACCAAACGCGCCCCGACCCCCGAAACGCGCCAGGCGGGTCACCGCACCCCCAGATGTGCCCCCAAGGCCCTCTCGACCGCCCGGGCGGCGAGGCGGACCCCCTGAAGTGGCCGGCGGCTGCCCGGCTCCCTCGTGGTGCCTCCCTGGTGGGGAGGCGGGGACCCCACCGCGGTTCAGCGTCTAGGGCGGGTCCCAGCAGCCGTCTCTCCCGCGAGGTCCGGCCGGTCCTCGCGCCCCCTCCGCTCCCCCGCAGGCCCAGAGCCCATGGCTGCAGCAGCCGCGTCGCCCTCCTGGCCGCGCTCCGAGCTCCGCCTCCCGAGCGGCCCAGCGCTCATTGGCAGACCTCCCTCTGCCCGCTCTCATTGGCCGGCTCAACGCCCGCGCTGATTGGTCTCTGCCGCCAGAGGGCGGGTACCCTTTCGCTCCGCCCCTCGGGACGCTGGCCTCGGAGTTGCTTTCTTGATTCGGGTCGGCGTTCGGATCTCAAATCGGATTCGCTCTGCGTATCGAATAGGGGGAGGGAAAAGAGACTGAACACATTTCAAACCTAGACAGAACGCTACAGCCGCAAAAGCCGAAGGAAACCGCGGACTTCCTATCCACCTTGCTGCATGCCTCTATAGGACTCCATCTCTCCTTTAAAAGGAGGCGGGTCGGGGAGGGGCGACGGACGGTTGCCCGGAAAATCTTGGACATCCCCAAAGCGCCAGTTTTCATGGTGGAGATAAACCGATGTCCCCTTCGCTTCTACTAACTCTGGTTGCTGGAAGGCCTGCCCACCAGGGAACCTGCATCCTGGAGTTAACGAACACCTCAATAAAGAGATTCCGAGGCGGTTCAGATCTTCAACCACAAGGTTGCTTTCGTTTCTTTTTACTTTGTAAATCATGTTTAAAAGCGATCATACGTATGGCTAAACATTCAAACAACCGTGAAGTACACAGAAAAATGAGTCTCTCCTACCCACTGGTTCGCCTGCTCTTGGGTAACCATTGCACGTCTTTCAGGAAAACATGATCTCGTCCATAGAGCCTTCCAAAGCAGTTCAAGAAACCTTTCAATCTCGGGCTACACTGAGCCGAGTATTTTACATGCATTGCTTAATTGGAGGCAGACAAGGCAGTCTGTATGTATTATATGTATGTGCATACATTTTTTTTTTTTTTTGAGACGGAGTTTCGCTCTTGTTACCCAGTGCAATGGCGCGATCTCGACTCACCGCAACCTCCGCCTCCTGGGTTCAGGCAATTCTCCTGCCTCAGCCTCCCGAGTAGCTGGGATTACAGGCACGCGCCACCATGCCCAGCTATTTTTTGTATTTTTAGTAGAGACGGGGTTTCACCTTGTTGACCAGGATGGTCTCGATCTCTTGACCTCGTGATTCACCCGCCTCGGCCTCCCAAAGTGCTGGGATTACAGGCATGAGCCACCGCGCCCGGCATGTGCATACTTTTTGCAGATGAAAAATACGAGTCCAGGGATCCTCCATTTCTGAGCCTGGGTGGCTTTCTTTGGAGGCCAGAACATGTTCTTTTTTGCTGCATGACTGTCTTGCCCCCTCTATGTGAATAACAGGGCAAACCATTAACCCTCCATGGTTATCCATTTCTCCAGCTGCTGAAGGTGAAACAAACCTTCACTCATTCATGCACTCTACCAATATTTGTTAAACACCTACTACGTGCCAAACCTGTGCTAGGCACTGGAGAAAACATTCTGACCCAATTCTTTGTTAAGCAGAGTTAATGGAACACAGTAGACCTTAAATAACTTTGCTATACAGAAGTGACTGACTGAATGAACGAATGGTAAACCTGAGACATCTTGCCCACACTGAACTTAATACTTCTAATCGAGGGGAGAAATTAGATATATTCTGGCTCATGTAGAAAGTTGGGTGTTTTGTTTTTCATTTTAACGTGGTAGTTTGGGAAATAGCATGGATTCTGGGTGAAGACCAGAGGAATCCTCTGAAAGTACAAGATGGTACAAGATGTTCAGTCTGGTACATTGTTGCTTCCAGGCTTTTCCAACACACACACACTCTTAATTGAAGTGGAAAAAGAAAAAGGCTGTCAGGACAAATAAGGTTGTTACAGTTTAGTGCAGTTTTGGTTTATAAAGGAAATGAAAATAAGGGCCGGGCGCGGTGGCTCACGCCTATAATCCCAGCACTTTGGGAGGCCGAGGCGGGTGGAGCACAAGATCAAGAGATCGAGACCATCCTGGTCAACAAGGTGAAACCCCGTCTCTACTAAAAATACAAAAATTAGCTGGGCATGGTGGCGCGCGCCTGTAGTCCCAGCTACTCGGGAGGCTGAGGCAGAAGAATTGCTTGAACCCAGGAGGCGGAGGCTGCGGTGAGCCGAGATCGTGCCATTGCACTCCAGTCTGGGTAACAACAGCGAAACTGTCTCAAAAAGAAAAAAAAAAAATAAGGGTGCGTGCGTGGATGTGAACCCTGGTTTTGCCACTTTTTAACTGCATGACCTTGAATAAGTCAACCTCTCTGTGACTCCGTTTCCATAATGATAAAATAGGTTTGATAATAGTACCCTACTCATAGGCTGGTTGTAAAATTAAATACCTTAATATGTAAAGCCCTTAGGACAGTGGCTTTGCATAATATACATCATACAATACTATTCTTATTATAAAGCTAATAATTGTTACTCCTGTGGAGACTTTCCTTGACCCATCATTGCCGATTCCCTCTTCGGGACTGCCCACAAAGCTTCCCATTCCCACCCCTCCGGACGATTCTGTGGTATCTCCTCCTCTCGCTCCGCCTCTTCTGGATGGCTGCAGGCCCGCGGTTGCGTGACGCACGCCGGGCCTTGTAGTCCGTTCGCGGAGTCCCGTCGTCTAAGGCCTCGCGGGTGAACTGCATTTCCCAGCGCCCCACGCGGCGGCGGCCGTAAAGCGCGGCGGTCGAACGGCCGGTTCCGGCTGAATGTCAGTGCGGGGCTGTGGGCCGGGGAGGAAGGTGGCCGGCGGTTCCTCTATCACCTCCGCCGCCGCCGCCTCCTCCGCCTGTGCTGCCGCCGCTGGCCCTGGGCCGCTCGGCCGGTTGGGCATGACGCCGTGAGACGAGAGACGGGTCGGGACGCCGACATGTTTGGACGCTCGCGGAGCTGGGTGGGCGGGGGCCATGGCAAGTCTTCCCGCAACATCCACTCCTTGGACCACCTCAAGTGAGTGTGTCGGGGGCGTAGCTGGAAGCCGCGGGGCTGGACAGGGGGACGGGGGCGCCGAGCTCCGGGTCGGGTATCTAGGAGGCGTGAGAGCGGCGGAGAGGGGCGCCCGGCGAAGCCCGTGTGAGAATTAAGAGCGAGGGCTCAGGAGTCAGGGTGCCGGGATTCGAACCCCGACCCCGTCGTTCCTGGCTGTGTGACCTTGGACGAGTTGCTTAGTTTCTCAGAGTCTCAATATCCCCACCTGTAAAGCGAGAGGATGCGATTTCAGTTTATGGACGCAGACTTTGTTCTTGACAGTGTCCACCAAGTTTGCTGGCGGGGTACTTCTTAAAGTGGACAGCTTAGGGGTCAAATGCCTGGGTCCTGGAGTCGGGCGGTTCTGGGTACGAATTTAGCTGTGTGAACGTAGGCCTCAGGTTCCCCACTTGTAAAGTAAGTAGAGTGACAGCACCTGCTTCCTGCCATTGTGTTGAGGGTTGGTTGGGTAAGAGAATGAACGTTAAGCTCAGAACATGTATAAGCTCGATAAACGGCATTAATTATTAAGGAAAAAAACCAGATTATTTTCCGAGGGGAGTCTAAGCTGGGGGCATGCAAGCTGAGACCCAGGATTTTGGGGCGAGTGGGGAGGATGATGAAAAATAGATACCTCTGAGATGGAAATGACCCTATAGCTCTGGGAGAGGACAAGTGGCAAACAGGGTCTTGGGAGGCAGGAGTGCACAGAAATTAAGTCTGGCTTTGCAGCCACACCTGTGTTCAAATCCTGACACCACCACTGGCTGTGTGACCTTGGGCAAATTACTTCACCTCTCTGAGCCTCTAGATCCCCATCTGCAAATGGGAATCGTGAACATTGTAATGGAAATAGAAAGTGACTGACCCAGTAGTTACATAGTAGGTGGCCAATAGTGATAGCTTTGTTTATTATCAGCTCCACAAGGCTTCCCAGAGCACCCTCCCTAACATGCTGCCCCATCCCAATTCCTATCCATCACATCTTTCTTTCTCTTGCTTTCATTGAGTGCTTCTCCACTCTCTGCAAGCATTCTGTTTATATTTACTTCTTTTCTGTCTCCTAATAAACTGGCACTTCCAGGAGAACAGAGACTGCTTGTTTTATTCACAGTTGTATTCCCAGCATCTAGCACTGCTTCCTTAAAGAGTGAAAAAATGAATGATTGAACTGGGGACAGGTGAAGAGCATGCAGGCCAAGGCTCAGGATTTGGGGGCAGGTGTGGAGGATGATGAAAAATGGAGCTCTCAGTGAAGGAAAAGACTTTAGGGAGGAAAATGGTGGGGATGCTGAAGAGGGGAGTGGACAAACCTTCAGTGTCCAGAAATAGGCAGGTTTCCAGAGGGAGATCCTGAGACTACTAATGGGGAGGAAGAAGAATAGGGTTAGGGATTTGGTGGAAAACTGTGGAAGGGAGACAGGGCCTGTGGAAAGGACTGGTGGGAGGGAATTAGATAGGACTTCTCATGTGTCCCCGGGAGTGGGGTAGGGGGAGTGGCAGGGCCACAATTCTCAGCTGTGACCTTTCTAGCATGGAGCAGCATTTAGTAAGCATTTGTGAGTCTTGAAGATTGGGGAGCAGGAGGGTTCACTGTGTGGTGAGGGGCACTTTTGGAGCTGGTAAGAGAAGACAAGGGGAGGAAAGAGGCCTGGGACCAGGATGGGGTGGGTAGGGAGGCAGGAATCTCAAATGGGAGGGCAGCTGGGCGGGAAAGGGAGTGGTTGAAGGATTTCAGGAATTTATCGAGTGGGCAGAGTGGCTTAGGAAGGGAGGGGAGTTATCCAGAGGAGGCTGGGCCTTCTGCCAGAGTCCACGTACCTGCAGGCTCTGCCTGACTCTAGCCCTTTTAAATTACCTGAATTTATCAATTTATCAAATGCTTTATTCTGTACCAGATACTGGCTAAGGACTTCCTGTGTGTTATTTCCGTTAGTCCTCACAAATCTGTTGTTTCCATTTTACAGAAGTGGAAACTAAGGTTCAAGGGGCTTCAGTGACTGGCCCCAGTGTGACAGCAGCTGAAGAATAGCAGAGCCAGGATTTGACTCCAGAGCTTGTGCTCATTATACTGTCTTTCTGAATAGAACTTCTCAATAAGTCTGTTTGAGGACACTTTTGGCTCCATTGAGTCTCATTGCCAATTGGGCATCTTTGCCAGCCAGCCAGCAAGGAATGGTAAACGGTCTCTGGTTCCTTTGCCATATCCTGGGAACTGCCTGGGTTCATTGTTTAGACCACATGTCTGCTGGATGCTTCTTTGGAAACCTGAGTTGCCCGCCCTGAATCGGGCAGATCACCTTAGTCCGTTTTACAGCTGCAAGAACCTCTGATTTGTGTATTGGTGCGGGGGGTGGTAAGAAGATCCCCCAGTTACTTGGAAATAGGGCCATAAACAACCCGTGCCCACCCTGGGGCTTGTGCCACTCTGCAATTGGCTCTGTTAGTAAACATCTTGGGTCTTGGGTACAGAACGACTCATTCCCTGAGGGAGTTTGCAGGCTGGTGGGGGAGACAGCTGTAGAGCCAGTGACTTTACACTGTGACAAGTGCTGGCATTGCCATGGATCCAGGGTTCTGTGGGAACCCTTTTTTGGGAGCTTTCAGGAGGAGACCCCAGTGCAAAGTCTCCAAGAATGAGCAGAAGCCTCCATGGAGGGCAGCGGGTACGGGAGGCGGAGCACTATGACCTGGACCCTGGGGGTTTTGTGGCGTGTCCAGGTGGGGGCTGGTAGTTGTGGGAAACAGGATAGAAGTAGGAAGGGGCATGGAATTTATGTGACACTTCAGGTGACCAACTGTCCTGGTTTGCCTGGGCTAAGGGGTTTCCTGGGACATGAGACCTTCAGTGGTAAAGCTGGGAAAGTCCTGGGCAAACTGGTGTAAACTGGTCAACCTACCAGTGACAAGCGACAGTTCCTAATACACTCTTGCCTTGACTTAGGGCAGTATGGGTGGAGAGAAAAAGTTTAAGATAGTTAAAAGAATTTGATTTTTTTTTTTTTTTAACCACACAAGACATCTGGAAACTTCTTTTTTTTAATAGACTTTACTTTTTTGCAACAGCTTGAGATTAACAGAAAGATTGAGAAGATAGCATAGAGAGCTGGAAACCCATTTTAACTACCATATTCTTTGTAACACTCCCAGCTTGCAAACTGGAAAGGAATTTTTCTGTTAGGGTTTTACGTTTGCTGAATGATAGAAAACTTCATACTTGTGGTCTCTGTCTACCATTTTTAGTGATGTAGCTCAGGCAGACTGAAGTCGTCGAGAGGTTATTTGCTACACACCATGGGTGCTTTATTGCCCAGACTAGTGGCAACACTATGACATTGACTGACAAATGTCTACCACCAAGCAGAAGCCTGAGTGATGGCATCATTTGATTCCTACTGAAATATCATATTTACCAGGGACTGCGCATCTACAGTTAGTAGAACTTGGTTGTTTTTGTGTTGTGGCCTTCATTCTGGTCCCCTTTGTATGGGGTCAAGATTTTTGGTGACAAGTGACAGAAAGCCAGCTAGAGTTGCCTTAAGCTCCAAATGGATTGAATAGCTCCTGTCACTGAATGATCTGTCCTGGCCAAACCGTGGCAGAATCCAGGTGTTTGGAGCCGTCAGAAATCAGCCTCTTTCCATCTCTCAGCCCTACCTTATTCCTGTTGGTGTGGTTCTCAGGGAGGCTGCAGGCTTACAGCATATCAGCTTAGCACTCCTGGGGAAAAAGAGAGCTTCTTTTCTTAATATTACCAGCAGAAGTCCAGAATTGAGTATCCCTGGACCAATGAGGTCTCATGCCACCCCTGAGCTGTCACTATGGCCCAAGGTGTGTGGGGCTCTGATTGGCCAGTCCTCACTGATATTGCCTTCCCTGGAGCAAGGGTGGGATGAGCTCCACTCAAGCTAGTAGACAGAGAATGAAAGAAAGGGGTGGTTCCCATGGGAGAATTAGAGGTTATTTCCCAAAGAAGGCGGGGAATAGATACATGGCAGGTAGACAGACACTCACCTACTCTAGGTGTGTTTAAGTTTTGGCCGAGGTAGCACAGACCGTGTTAGAGCTTGGGGTACAGTATTGCCATGTTGATTTTCTCAAAATTCCATCTTCACCATGTCATGTATAATGGATCCTAGGCACCCACTATGTCAAGGCTAAGTTGCTCCAGGCCTTCAGGGTGCTCCAGACTCCATTCCAACTGTCTAGTTGGGGAGCACAGTGAGTCAGGAATGTCCTTGGTAGGCAGACACTGTTTAAATAGAGACCTACCTACAGGGTGAGTAGTTGTTAGCAGGCAGCAGGGGATCAGGTGGAAGGATGGATGTCTCAGGCAGAGGAAAAGCATTTCAGAGAGCCTAGCGGGACAAGGGAAGCAGGCCACATTGGCAGAACTCAGGTGGTTCAGCAGGGGAGTGTTCATGGGGCGAGGGGGAGGTGAGGACCCTAGCGCAGAGCCATGCTTGGGAGTCTCCAGAGGCCAGGTCCCCAGGGGCCTTGTAAATCCTGTTAAGGAATTCAGACTACGTGTGAGAACAGTAGGGAGCCATGAAGGTTTTTAACCACAGGAAGGCTGTGGTCTAGCCAAAGCTGGCAGAATGGATTGGAAGAGGGCCAGACTGGAGGTGGGTGTTCACATAAGGGGCTGCTGCCGTCCTCTGGTGAATTACGGTAGCAGCTGTTGTCATCCAGGTGTGTCTCTCATTGGTGGTCACGGGAGACCACCACTCACACACACAACTGGCACGTCCACTTGAGCTCCCCTGCTCTATTCTTCCTGCCCATTCAAATGCCTAGCTCTATCCCAGAAATGCCAGTTCTTCCCTAAAAGTTACCCTGGTGACTTCAGCCAACAAGTTTTGCTGTCGGCTGGGCGTGGTGGCACACACTTGTAATCCCAGCACTATGGGAGGCCGAGGCAGGTGGATCACCTAAGGTCAGGAGTTCGAGACCAGCCTGGACAACGTGGCAAAACCCCATGT